TGAAGGAAATGGGGGTCCGGCTTGGTGTCAGCAGTTGGAAAACCTTTCTAAGAATTGTAACTCACTCATGAGCCCAGGCTGCCTTGAGAGGTAATGAATGAGCTGCCCATCACAGGAGGTGTGCAAGCAGTGATCAGAAACTGTGTCCCTCAGACACTCTCCTCCATCCCCAGGGAGACTGGGCTGAGGGTGGTCCTCCCTCCAGGCCTTTGTCCAATACCCTGCACTCCAAGCTTTCCTGTGAGCTTCAAATTCTACCCTCTGGCTTGGAAGGCTGACTGGGGGCACTGGGGTAGGGGCTGTCTCCATAGCTTTGGCACAATCCCATAGGGCCCAATGGAGACTCAGGGCCCTGCGCTCTCACTGTGACAAAGTTGCTGGCACTTAAAAATCTCCAAATGTGTCACCTGGGCTCAGCTGACACCAGGGCCGCCATGCAAGCAGGCATCACTCAGGGCCAGGGCGGGCAGGACTGGCGTGTGCTCACAGCCCTGTCCACACTCAGCCCCAGCGGTGCCCACCTCACTCAGAGTAAAACCAAAATCCTCCTGGAGCCCCCAGGTCCCACTGCTTTGTCCCCAGCATGTCCTATTGCCAAGAACAAATATCCCTAGTGCTACACAACAGCGGAGCCGCCCCGGTCTCTGAAGCCATGCCCCACCCCAGCCTGGCAAATGGCTGCATAATCAGGCCTTGTGCACAGAGCCTAGGATGGTTCACTATTAGTGAGAAGGAGGCAGCAGCCCTGCAGGGGTGAGATGACACCCTAGAAGCAGCAGAGACCAGTGTGAAGTTCTCAGGGCCCAAAAGTGTAAAGGCAAGGGGCAGGGCGGGACAGGTGGTGGCAGAAGGGCCCACACAGTGGAGCCCGCTGGGATCTGGAGCTTGATGCTCCCACCACTGGCCCCGTGGAAGGCCAGACAGGCTCAACACCTGGCCCCAGTTATCCCCACCCTAATCCTAGCTGGGCCTCCCCTCCCAGCGCAGCTGGTGTCAAAAGAAGCTGAACCCAAGAGATAGGAACCCTGCTGGGGGGACCCTGGGAGTGCAGAACCTAGCTCTCCTCCAGAGGGTGGGGTGGGCCGGGCAGTAGAGGCGCCAGCAGACAGAAGAAGGGACATGACAGACAGAGCCACAGTGGGGCCGGAGGCAGGGAGGGGCTTTCAGGGAGGGGCTCTCAGCGAGAGGCACAGAAAGAGATGGGGCAAGCTCCAAGCCAAAGAGGACTCAACAGAGCCACCTGGCTAAGGGAGTGAAGAGGGTGGGGAGATGGAGTTGGGGGGAAAGGCCAAGAGGGGCAGGGGGTACAATGCTGGCTGCCAGGGGTCCCAGTGACCACCCCCCGCCCCTGCCTCCTGAATGCCAGCAGGCTTAGCAGGGTGCTACCCGCACCAGGGGCTTCCCTCCGGGTCACTGTTTCCCACAAGCCCCACGTGAGCCACATCAGCCCTTGGGGCCTCCAAGCTCCGGGTAGAGGGAGTCACAGACACTTCTGCAAAGGTGACATCAGCCCCTAGCCTGCAGCTCACAGCTTCCTCTCCAGGGCTGACCCCCACCCCCCAAAACCTGGTGTTTACCAGGGATCAGGTGCCATAGGCTGATTCAGGCTCAGGGAAAGTTCACAGGCAGGAAAGAGCCCTAACAGGGAGGGCACTGAGCACAGAAATACCCTTGGCTCCAGCCACTGAGAATTCATGGAGGGGGTTGGGCTAGCCAAAGCTAGAGCCACCTACTCCCTCACTCTGGCTCCAAAGGCAGAGGTAGGGAGAAATCTTTCTCTCCTTACTTCGTAGGACTCTCCCTAGCTCCCAGTGCCTTTAAGGTTTTCTAATTCCTTGTCTTGTATTGACCTTTCCTGCCAGCCCATCAAAAAAAACAGAGAAATTAACTAACTTTCCCCAAGGGAAATCGGATTAACTCAGCACAAGCTTTCCTAGTGTGCATCAGTGAGTGGAGATGGGGAGCTTTC